TGATATTATGAAGACGCTTCTCCGATCCAATGCATTACCATTTTGACCAGTTCGTACGAAAGACTAACCGATTTTTACCGTATACAACCTGATTCATTAGACTTTTTAACCGTAGTAGCACAAGCATCAAAGATCCCTTGAGTATTTGCATCCTTGTATGGCACAGGAATAACAATTACTTGAGTTGATGCTACTTTAGGAGGTAAGACCAGGCCTTTGTCATCCCCATGAACCATGATCATAACACCAATCTGTCATAGCACGCGCGCACACACAAAAAAAAATGTTAGCTTGACCTCCAAAGTAAAAAAAGTGACGAGACAGTAGCTAAATGGCTTTGAATTCTCATTGTTCTAGTAGTATAAGCCCATGAGTTCTGCCAGACCATAGCCTTCTCTCCCTTCTCATTTTCAAAACTGATCTCAAACATTTTTGCAAAATTCTGGCCTAAACAGTGTGAAGTTGCACCTTGGATACCACGGCCAATATTAGGGATAAAAGCCTGACAAATAAACACTGTTAGGAACCGCCAAACAAAGTCGACACAGATGTGCTCCTGGATACCTCAATTGTAGTCGTGTAGAGCCCACCGGCAAACTGCTCAAGCTCACTTTTCTTTCCCTTACTGACTGGAACGGCTAAAAATTCTTCATATATACGTCTATACAATTCCAAGATTCCAAGAACCTGAATCAAAGATAGTCGCAAGATCAGCATTAGTGAAAAAGACCATAATTCTATAAGCAAAAATAGTATGAACTTGAACAGAGAAGTAGAACGCTTAGCAGCAAGTCTTTTCTGGGTCAAATCAAGGCACCTTAGTGCCAAGCAACTAATTCTCACAGAAGCTTTTCCACTAATTTGCTCAGATTTATTCACCAATCATACAAGATAAGAAGACTATTAGAAGAAATCGACAGCAAATGGAGAAGGATAAGCCAAAGAGAAACATAAAGTAGTCTCCACTGATGTTTAAGTAGCAGGCAAAGAAATACAGGTCTCAACATACTTTATCCACAAGGACAATAGTGTATCAACGTAGAAGGCAGCTGTCTGCAAGTGTTGGAACAGAATTTCTGAAACTAGTCTTATGGCTGACCTGACCCAAAATTTAACACCAGTTCCAAGGTAGCAAAAAATACATGAAAGTAGCTTATTTGCAAGTTGTGATACTAACCCCTATTACTCTAAAGTAATACTTCATATCCGTACTAAGAATGTCCCATAGTTCAATCGAGTGATTCTACTTTTTATATACAGATTGACCACTCCCTTTCCTTTATGCAATCATACAAATAATTTCACTTTCTAAGAAAGCTACAATCTGATACATTCTTCATTTTAATATAATTTTCACCAATTTAACCCTAATAAAAGAGCAAAATCTGATTTATCCACATTCTCCATTTGAAACTGAATACACATTTTCAGTTTTTTCTTATTTGCACCAAGTTCAAATAAGACAAAACATAGATGTAGGATTATTTCAATATCTGTCTGAAGCAGCAGAAATTGAAGCGGGAAGACCATATGACTCATATATTATCTCCCAATCCTTCCAACGGCCTAAGCTATTAACACATTGTATGAGGTAAATAAATGCCAAAGCTCATAAACAGCCCAATTACAGATCAATCAATGAGAAGAAAACTCCCTCCCTCCTTCCTTCCCTCCCTCCCTCCCTCCGACCGAAAAAAGAAGAAGCAAAATGCCATGTTCCTTAAGTTTGTTGCCTTGGCGTCAGTATCATCTTCATTTCATGGAGACAGGCACCGAGATCATCTCATGTCAAGACAGGTTAGCAGGTCAGTCCTTGTAATTTGGAGTAAATGCTAAGTTGTTTGTCCTAGAAGCACCTTCTAGTTCTGTCTAGATCTAAAAATCAACTATTATTCTCCCCACAAAACCAACAACAATTTAGAAAAGAAATTCTTTTAGATGGTCAATATTAACACTGGAAAGACTAACTTGACATCATAAAGCAAATATAACACACACAAAGACTGAATTGGAAGATTCACTGTAAAACGATCTTACAGAGTTACTATATTGCTATCTGCATCAAATGCAATCAAATTAGGCACTATACTAAGGTATTAAGATGCAGCTCAATAAGAGATTCAGTTTTTGTCTTCAAAGAACTTTAGTTGCTGAAATGCATTGTTTAATTTTTGTTTTAAAAGAACTTTAGTTGCTGATATGCATACTCCAAGAATATCTGAATACCTCGGTATCTGCCTCCTCCTTTGTTGCAAAAGCAGTGTGTCCTACTTGCCAAAGAAACTCACGACTCCTGAATAAGGAACATAAGCAAATCATTACCACACACATCCCGAAGGCCTCAAAAGAATTTGGGATTAAAATGGAGTTTTTGTCATCTAAGCTGCAAACATTTGCTGCACTTGAATAACATTAACATGCCCACAAAGGAAAGGCAAAAGGATGTAAGACAAAAATAAACTCAAAAGGGGGTAGGGTTGCTAAACTCCCATCGTACAACATTGCACCACTGGTTGAGTCTCAAGGGCAAGTCACGATGTCCCCTTATCCACTTAGAGAAGTAAGGATACATCACTGTTTCACTAGTTGGTCAAATTGCAATGGGTACTTCCAAATCAGACTCACCAGATTTTGTAACCCAAGCAACCTGAAGAATGACATAAACCCATTATGGGCATAATAATAATAAGTCTATAACACAATTCAGTCCCCATATTTTGTAACAGAACCACTCTGAAGAATGATTACAGCCCATGGTTAGCATAGTTATCAAAATTGAAAGGAACAATACATTGCACAAGTGATGATACCAACTTAACACCATGGTATGATACTTGATACCACAATGAAGTTATTACTATTACCACAAAACTAAAGATAACTCAAAAAAATTCCTCGCTTCTCAGAATCCTACGCGGCCCAATTTCATGACGACTTTCTAAAATTATAATGATGAAATTTAAAAAAAGAAAGGCAAAACCCCGTCACTATTAAGCGCTATAATCAGCAATAGGCGGCATGAGTAACAGGAGAAAAATTTTCCTATTGTAGGTACTTTTGAAAGCTTCAGGAAACTTCAGCAATCAAGGTACAAAAGCGGGAAAGTAAGGAAAATGTGGAGTAAACATTTATTTAGAAGACATTATACAAGCTTCTAATATGCTTCACAGGCTAAAAGCAGAAAAACTTGACACTATAACGCTTAAGTTAAAAAAGTGCCAAGTCTACCCTCAGGAGCAATTCCCTCTATGTGGTCCTTTTCCTTTTGTAGAACAGCAGGGGACACAAACAAAGAAAAGTAAGAGTTCTTTATCTTCATTTTCTTAATTTCAGCATCAAAAAACACCTGCACATACAGAGCTAAGAATCCATTATAAATGTCCTCAATTAATAAGCAGCAGGAGAAAAAGAAAATCATTTCATGGTCAAGCTTACTTGCAATATCTCCCAGATAGACATTGCCCATGGGGCGTAGAATATAACAGCCGGATATGTCGTAGTGCTTATCATTTCACCATTAACGACAACCTATGTTCATATGTTTTAAGTTAATATTTTCATATATGATGTGAAGGAACTCATATATATAAAAAATAATACATAAAGCATCTATATAGAGAGCAGAAATTTAAACAAAATGTATCAGAGAAACAGATGAAAGCAGCTGTTGAAGAAGCGTGCATGGGTTAAGCTCATGTCACGGGTTTGAACCCGGCCGCAGGCTTTTTGGTATTTAAGTGGAGTATGGTAGAGGGGGAGCTTATTATCCACTAAGTTTCGAGCTGTGCGCCCTTGGCCAGGGGGATTTCGTGGTTATCAATTAAAAATAAAATCCCCTTGGACAAAATTATAAGGAAAAGAGACGGAAAATAAATGACAAGGAAAAAAATAGAAGTTTGGTTAAACAAAATTCTGCCCATTAAAACACTGGACAAAGAAAGAATTGAGAGAAGCATTCAGTAGCAGAAGAAAATTGGGGAATCTGTGAATTTGGACAAGAAATTATAGTGAAAAAAAAATAGAAGAAAATGACTACGAAAAACAAAGATGTTTGGCTAATCAAAGCCGCCCATCCCACCAATTGAATGAGGCACCTGCCGAATCCGAACTTCTTGTTAGATGCCCAATGGAAAAAACAGACAAATATAAGGAAAACAAAAATATTAGAAAAGACAGAAATGAGGAAATTGGAGGTCTCGCAACCCAATCAGATTGTTCCATCTTTCTTCTTGCACCAAAGAAAATGACTACAGATGCATCGTCCAATAATGAATAGGTATATATTATCAAATTTTGATAGAACATATAGTTGGATCTCCAAGCATACCTCAGGATACCACTCTCCAAAATTTTCATCTTTTTTGTAAGAGAGACTAAGATCTGTCTCTTTCTCGACTTCTTTCTTTTTTCCCTGACCAAGACCGGTCTCTTTCTTGACTTCTTTCTTTTTTCCTTCTGAAGAAAGGCAAAAACAAAATGTAACAGACAAACCAAATAGCTAGAGTAGCAAGTTTTTTTAAAGAGATATATGCCGGAGCATGAATACTTACTGTTTGAATCTTTACTCGCCATGGTAGCAAGCTTCCAAATTAAGGATATACCCTACCAATAGCCAAGATAGCTGCTTCATAAATGAAATTTCAACGATCAACCCGTGAAATGACANCCCCTCTCTCTTTGTTATTTTAAAGAGATAAATCAAAACTTATATCCCAATGCTCCCCAACATTTGCCCTCCAAACTACTTTAATTCTTCTTTTCTTAGTACTGCATTACACCAACATTTATTTATAAGGTAGCACACAAAAAAAAAGAAATACACAAACCTGCTAGCCGCAACAATAGAAACAGCTAATGCAGGAAAACAAGGTTTCAATAAGGTGCTATACAAGAAGTTAATTTTTCCATATATGTAGTCAGATGAATAAAAGATGTAGCATTTTGATATGCACAAAGATACAACTAATAAAATCGGTCTACTACGTAAGAAGACTAGATTAGAACCTGAATATTTTTTATCCTGATATTAGTATGAACAGCAATTTAAATGGTGCATCTGACAAATGTGGGCGTACAGAGAAGCATTGCATAAACAAAACAGACTAAAATTATAATATTTCAACAAAATGAACTTCCACTAACACTTGCCAAAATTCTACATCAATGATAGAAATCTAATAGAAATGAAAACATTATTCTCAAAAGTGTAGTCCACGTAACAAGGTGCAAGAAAATGGTGGTTCAGTAGCAATCAGCCAGCCAAGTCCAGAAAGTTGATGAAGAAAACTCTGCTGGAACATCTTCCTTTATAAACCCCTGCAGGCAGAGCAGTCACGGCCGTCAATTTACAAATGAAAGCAGTTTCGAATGGTCATATACAAGAAATTTGCAATGTGAGAAAAGTGTTTTACTTTAATCAGAAGGAACAGACTAAAAAAATGAAAATACAAAAAATCATGCAAAGCTATATTAGCTGAGAGTCTTAACAAAAAATGCTTCAAAACCCATGAAATGTGAACAGGAAACAAAAGCATATCTCGAGCAATTATCCTGTTATATTGTTTTCCCTCTGGGAGAAGAATTGCGAGTCATAAAATGACTTTTCACAGCTCAAAATATAATTTTACAATTAAATGTAAGTAGATTTCATCTGCAAATGACAAACATCTCAAGTGCAGTTCGCTTAGGCAGCTGTGGATGGAGTTGGCAACAGACGTGAAGCTTGAAAGACAAAGGAAAGCAAGCAATGCCAAAAGGATGGCAGCAGATGCAAGATCCTATTTTCAAGTTTGAGATAAGCAATACCTACGCTTTTTTCCCCTTTTACACCCTTCTTATAAATGGGGAGTGTCAAAGCTTCACTCATTAAAAGCTTCCCAATATTCCCTCTAAATCCATGTGCATATGCTATAAAATGTTGTTTATATTAGAAAGGTTAAGTAGAAAGCTTTCTACTGACTGAATGTATCACTTTCATTTGCTCTAAAAATTTCTACAAGGACTTAATTTCCCCAATATTTTCATGCTCTACTATTAAGCTTGTGCACAATTAGAGTGAGACAAAAGGATTATGTCGGTCAGCTAAAGAAAACAGCTGAGTGCACAGGTCTTCTTTCCCAATATATCCTTTTTCTTTTGCTCAGTGGTGTGGATGACAATTAGATGGCATTTTTGGAGAAATTCTTACCCGGTGTCTAGTTTTGTCCTTGGACCCCATGCTTTATGTTGCCTCTAATATTTTAGAGTACAACGATGAACAAGATAATCCTTTCTTAGTCTTATTCCACAACATGAGTAACTCATGATCTTCAGTAAGAAAAACTAGGAAAATGTACACTTCCTTCCAAGAACAGAAAGCTCCTAGCCTCCTTTTTTTAGCTTGCCAGATACCCATGACCTCGTCCTCACCATACCTTTCAGCTTCATATTCCTTTGGGCCCTGTAGTTCTCCACTCTCCATGCACCACTAAGCTTTTGGCCCTTCAATTGGAGGGGTGAATCCAGAACAAGAGCACTGACGACAGACTAGTATGTCTAATATCCCGTACATCCAATGAGCAGTGAACGAGAACGAGAAATGGCTAATGTTCACCAGAATCATTTTAGTCATTTTGTGAACGAATGCTAGTTCTAAGATAGAAAGATTGAACAAATAGACTACACAGTGCTTGCATTTCTCCATGTGTCCCATCCCTTCATTTAATGAAATGCCCGCGAGATCCTAAACTCTGAAGCTGGTATATTTAAATTTGGAATACTGACACGGCAAAGATAAGAGAATCGAAACATCTGCATACATTGTATCTCAACTCAAGGAACTTATCTAAATTCAGCACTTATACATGAATTCCACGTATCGTTAGTAAATGTGGTTACTTCTGATGTTTACACCTGAGCTCTTCCCTTTTGTAAAGGGTAAAGTGCAATGGACATCAACTTCTTAAATCATTGTCTTATAAACCAAATGAAAGAAAGCGTCAATTCCAAATCAGATAAAATTGCCCTTCAGTCATCACTACGTAAAGTACACCCAATGACAAGGCACTAGAGTAGTTCAGTGATCAAACAACCTGCAAACATTGCACACATTTAGGCCTTATCTGCATTATAATTTTAATATTTGACTCCTTTTAGCCCCACCTTTTGTTACATTAGATATGCACATGCATATTTAAACGGAGACAGTCCTTTGGCAAGCTTATTTGACTCAAGATAACCTTAGCAAAAGAGGCATTCAACTAGAAAAGGCCTATGACAAAGTCCTGAGGGAGGTCCTGTGGAGATGTTTGGAAGCTAGAAGTGTACCTGTTGCTTACATTAGGGCAATTAAGGACATGTGCGATGGAGCTAAGATCCGAGTGAGGAGAGTGGAAGGGGACCCGGACCACTTTCCGGTCATGATGGGGTTGCACCAAGGGTCGGCATTCAGCTCTTTTTTGTTTGCCCTGGCAATGGACGTATTGACGCGCTATATCCAAGAGGAGGTGTCGTGATGCATGTTATTTGCAAACGGCATTATATTGATTGACGAGATGCAAGGCAGTGTTAACGCGAGGTAAGAGATGTAGAGGCAGACCCTGGAGTCTAAACGTTTCGAGTTGAGTAGGACTAAGACAGAATACTTAGAGTGTAAGTTCGGTGGGGCGACTCAGGAAGTGGAAGGGGAGGTGAGGCTGGATTCACAATTCATCCCTAGGAGAGTACGTTTTAAGTACCTTGGGTCAAGTTTACAGGGGATAAGGAGATCGATGAAGATATCACACATCGTATTGGGGTGGGATGGATGAAATGAAACTTGCTTCCGGTGTTTTGTGTGATAAAAAGGTGTCAGCATATATTAAAGGTAAGTTCTACAGAGTGGTGGTCAGGCCAACTATGGTGTATGGGGCTGAGTGTTGGTCAGTCAAGAACTCTTATATCCAGAAGATGAAGGTAGCAAACATGAGTATGTTGAGATGGATGTACGGGCACACAGGGTTAGATAAGATTAGGAATGAAGTTATTCGGAACACAGTGAGTGTGACCCCCTATTGAGGATAAGATGCGGGAAGCGAGGCTTAGATGGTTTGGACATGAAAGGAGGAGGAGCACAGACGCCCCAGTCAGGAGGTGTGAGAGGTTGTCATTGGAGGGCTTGAGGAGTGGTAGAGGTAGGACGAAGACGAATTAGGGAGAGATGATTAGGCAAGATATGGTGCAACTTCAGCTGACAAGACATGACCCTTGATAGGAAGGTATGAAGGTCGAGGATTAGGGTAGCAGGTTAGTTAGTTTAGTGTTCTCCATGTTCATACTGGTAGTATTAGAACGTACTTTCGTATTCTATTGGTATTAGATTTCTATGACTACCTGTCGTTTCTTTCATTTCGATCATCTTATTATCTGGGTGTTATTTATGTTGCTTTTACATGGCTTCTCGTTGTTGTGCTTGTTATTCTCTTCATTAATATGGTGTTTATGCTTTCTGAGCCAATGGTCTATTGGAAATAGCCTCTCTATCTCCACAAGGTAGAGGTAAGGATGTGTACACACTACCCTCCCATACCCCACTATATGGGATTATACTGGGTTTGTTGTTATTGTTGTTGCTGCATTCAACTGTGCAATACGTGTTACATGGGCCAGAGCAGAGAATGTCTTTCATCTTTTTTTCCATTGTAAAGTAGAAGGGATATTTGGAGCATGTTCTAGTGTATTTTTGGGGTGCGGTGGATAATGCCCTACAATATTAGAGATGCTATGCAAGCTGGGAGCTGAAGAGAGTTGGGAAAGCCATCAAGAATATCTGGAAAATGGTTCCTGCATGCATGTTTTTGGTGTACCTGGCCAGAGAGAAACCATAGATGCTTTGATGGAATCTCAACTTCCAATCACTCTTTAAAGGTTAGGTGTCTTTTAAATTTTTTTTGTTGGAGGAACTTATACAATGTAAATAGTATCGAACATATCAGAGATTTTGTTAGCTCCCTAAGCTTTACCTAGTTACTAGACCTAATTTCCTTTTGTAACCATTTGCATCCTCCGGATGCTTATTGTTCAAGTGTGTGACCATCTCATCTAAAAGCTTAAGTTGATAGAGAGAACACAATTTTTATTTACTTAATTATGTTTTCAACACGGTCCCCCGCACACCTCATGTGCGGGCTTGATTCTTTTTTATGAGCCAAGCACATGAAAACTCTTTTTGATATTGGGTGGCGGTGAGACTCGAACCTATGACCTCTGCATGCTCTTATACCATGTTGAAGTGTGTGATCATTTCATCTAAAAGTTTAAGCTGTTAGAAAGCACACACTTTTTATTTACTTAATTATGTCTTCATACTTATCAATGAAATTTCTTACTTCATTAAAAAAACCATGATAACTTCATTCATGTACCAAAAAAATTGGAGATTGTTCGCTAACATGAGTAAATCAACTTCCTAGACAACTAAACATCAGTTACAATTTTCACACATCTTAAATAAGCAAAACTAAACCTTGTGCGCGGAAGGTAGAGCAAACCGGAACTCCTCACGGTAAGCCACCCATATGCAACAATGCGCTCTAAGCAGTTGAAGCTTATTACGAAGCCAACTCTTTTGCACTAAGATAAATGTAATCTTTTCTACACATCATAGCAAAAATTAGTCTAACTTAAGTTCTCAAGTTTCTTTCTCTTTCTGTTTTGCCCTCATTGTGGGAAATAACTATCTCCGCAAATTTTAGTCATCATCAGCAATCAATTCATGTCATTTAGCATGTGATTAACATAAAAGCAGCTTGCTCCGTTCCCAACAAGATCCATTTAGAGCGATGCAATCTTTCCTACACTATCATAGCACAAATTAGTCAGCTACAAGTTCTCAAGTTGCTATTTTTCTACTGTTTCCAATGCCCTCCTTGAGGAATAGAACTATCTCTTTGAATTCTAGTCAATATCATCAATCAATTCATGTCATCTAGCTTGTGCTTATCATAACACCAGCTTGCTATCTCCCCAACACAGTCCACCATTGGCACTAATAAAATCCACAACATTCTTAGTCTTCCCAGTAACATTTCCATACTTTAAACATCATAAACGATACCTACACCTCAATCCCAAACTAGTGGGGGGTTCAGCAATATGAAAAGCAGATCTAGGATTTAAACTTGATGGATTTGATCTTTAAATCTTTTAGCATTGAACTCATTGCACTTTTATAAAATTATGGGTTCAGATATAACATTTATTGAAACTTTAGTAGGTATGCACATATATATTTATATTCCATGTCGAAAATATTGGGTTTGGATGAACTCATAACCAAACAGCTACATCCGCCGCGAGCCTATACGAATCCTCTATATCTATTTCACTCCAAGTCGAAATTCATTCCTTCTTTGTTTTTCATACCTGACTTTCTTGATGAGGATGGATTTGAGCTTACGAGCAAGGTCTTGAGAACGGAGTTTACGTTCAAGGAGCTTACGAGCCAAGACACGCTTCTCCGAGTTCTTGATGTGGTGAAGCTGTTCACGCTTTATGAGGCGTTCCATTCCGCTGGACTGCATTTTTCTCTGCATCAAGAACAGTGCTTGGTCTAGGTTGTTGTTCCGCACCTTCACCCGTATGCCCCGCCATTGTTGTAGCTGCTGCTCCCAACTTAGTGGGTTCAACAAGGCTACGTTCGGTCGATTGAAGATGGTGGATACATGCTTCGCCACTGAGCTAATCATTTCTTAGGGTTTCTCGATTTGTTTGGTCCTGAAATGCAATTGGGAACCGGGATTAACGAGAATAAACAGACTACATAAAATATAGTGTAGAAACGTTGAAACTGTCAAACTACATCTATCATTTGCTTTTTGTACAGATACATCGGACTATATTCAAGTACTGTAAGATTAATGTTTCAGCAGCTTAAATTGTACAAGGAAGCATAGAACATGTTTTAAGAGAGTGAAACGTACAAAACAGATAAAGCTGCAAAAATCTAAAATTACAAGGCCTTCTAAATACTAACAAAATAGAAGAACAAAAGAAGTTGGGATTTGGGAAGAGAAAATGCGACCCATAAGACTAACCTTGGCTGAAAAGAGATGTTGGGATTTGGGGGCGGCGTGGGAGACTGTCAAGCTTTGACTCAGAATCTTAACCCCTTTGTGGTGTAGTAGTATTTTGTTTATGTGCCTTTGCGGAAACTGAGATTTGGGTAAAAATCCACTGGACAAAGGGCTAATTAAGGTTAAAATCGTAAAGTTACACCAGGAAACTTCACTTTTTGAACTTAAATATCAATCAATATAAAATAATATATCATATAATATTAAAACATATTTGTATTGAGTAACACTAATCTTAAAAGAAAAAATACAAAAAATACAAGTTCAAACTGATTAAGTTAATCCCCACGAGGCAGGAGTAAGGTCTGCGTACACACTACCTTCCCCAGATCACACGGTATGGGATAATACTGGGTATATTATTATTGTTGCAAACTGATTAAGGTTGATCCTATTCGATCGATGATTGTTAAAAGCAAAAAGATTAGGTATCTTCTAAATTTGCAACGCTGAACATATAAATTCATAATTTTTCCGGTCATAAATTTAAGGGGAGAACACGAAAAAACGAATGAATTTTCTTATTAGTATGATCGAACTTTTTCAGGTTGTCTACGTATGCTGAAACAAGAATTAGGTCATAATGTAGTTAATGATATAGTAAAAAAATAAAATGACATAATTGATGTGATACGACTAAACCTGACTCACCCAATTCCACGGGCAATCAAATCCCGGGAGCACCCCCGATATTGAAGGGGTCGGATTCCAAAAAGTTTATCTAGAAGCCTTTCCCTCCGAGCGCGGCACCGAAGCCGATCCCAAAGAGGTTTCGCATGCCCGACATCTCAAAATATAAAGGAACCACGGATCTGAATGAGCATGTGACCTCCTATACATGTGTAATCAAAGGGAACGACTTGGAAGATGATGAAATCGAGTCGGTGTTACTAAAGAAGTTTGGGAAAACTTTGTCCAAAGGAGCAATTATATGGTATCACAACTTACTCCCAAATTCCATTAACTCGTTTGTTATGCTTGCAAATGCTTTCATGAAGGCCAATTCCAGGGCCTTAAAGGTCGAGAACAGAAATTCAAGGTTCAACAAAGGGACGACGAGATGCTCAGGGAATTCGTATCGAGGTTCCAGATGGAATGGATGGACCTGCCTCTGGTCGCAGATGATTGGGTCGTTCAGGAATTTACTCAAGGACTTAACCCGCGAAGCTCCTTGGCTTCACATCAGCTAAATAAATTTTGGACGGTAACTTGGGCTGACGTCCACAATAGATACCAGTCAAAGATCAGAGTCGAGGACGACCAACTCGGAGCCCCTTCTGGGTCTGTTTATCCCTTCAGGGCCGACGACAGGTCCAAGAGAGTCGTCGATCATAAGCCAAGGCCAGTTCGGGATCGGTACCAGCCATACAACACGGATCGAAAGGGAAATGGGTTCGGGCATCAGCCCACGTGGAACGAAATGAGAGGCGATCGAAGGCCAAGTAGCCGAGGTCTAATGAGAAAAAATGGTTCCGATAGGCCGCTCGGGGGTAGGGAAGCACCAAGATTATCAGAGTATAACTTCAACGTTGATTCCGTCATCATCGTATCAGTCATCGGGGGCATCAAGAAGACTAAGTGGCCTCGACCATTGCAATCTGACCCTACCCAACGAGATCCTAACTTGATGTGCAAGTATCACGTCACTCATGGCCACATAATAGAGGATTGTCAACAATTGAGAGAAGAAGTTGCACGATTGTTAGATAACGGGCACCTCCGAGAATTTTTGAGTGATCGGGCCAAAACCCACTTCAGGAATGGGGACGCCAACAAACAGGACGAACAAGAGGAGCCTCAGCACGTCATCAACATGATCATTGCAGGGGTCGATGTCCATCAAGGGCCAATGATAATGCGCACTAAAGTATCTATCACAATGGAGAAATGCACCCGAGATTATGTCACGAAAGGAACCATTTCGTTCGACGACGAGGATGCCGAAGGCATCGTGCAGCTACACAATAATGCACTAGTAATATCCGAACTTATCAATAAATCTCGAGTTAAACGTGTATTGATTAATCCAGGTAGCTCGGCCAACATCATCATATCGATAGTTGTAGAGCAATTGAGATTACACGACCATATAGTATTGGCGGTCTGGTGACGAGTGCAAAACACACACTTATATATGCTCTCTAGTCGAATATAGTATAATGTAATGTCGTATCTACAGGGATTGGAGTTAAACAGTATTATCATAGTTTGTAGCTAGATTGTTATCCAAGATGATCAACAATTTAGATTTATGTGGTTAATACTAAAATTAATTAAGAATCTAGAACTAATTGACGAATGACAATCGAAGCAAGGACTAAGCAAAGAAAGATATCAATGGGAGAAAATAGAGTTTTGATAGGATAGGTGCAAGATAATTGTCTGGGATTTAACTCTAGATAATTCACTTCTAATGTTTAAGTGATTCTCTCAAATTCACTTAATTATCAGTACAATTATTTAGTAGAAACTCCTCTCTCGATTAAGTCTCAACCTCTCAATATGAACCAATTTAAGCTCTGTGGAGATATGCAAGAATGCGTAATGGATTGGTCTTTAGGAGAACCTCTCTCGATTATCCTTCTAACTAGGTTTAATCAATGATTCAACTAGCCTCTTTCGATTATTTAGAAGAATCTATGAACTCAACCAACAATATAATGTAAAGATATTACAAGTTATGCCTCTTTCAATTACAAGAACAAGTGAATATAGATGCAACAATTAAATCTTCCAAAAACGATTCAAATATATAAAAATAGAGTTATAATCCACAAACAATCATCAATACACCAAATCCATCAAAACCCAAAAGGATCTACTCCATAGACATGGAGAAGTTCTTCACAAATGTAACGAAAGTATAGAAAAACATAAATTCAATCCTAACCCGGATCTTGAGTGAGGAAGGAATGATGAAATCCTTGTACTTGTGTTCTTTCAGCTCCTCCTAAGCCTCCTTAGGTCGAAATTGTATCCAAAAGTCCCGAAAATGGTGTTTTCTCGTGTATTTAAGCCATCTCCCAATAAACTCCGCACGAAATTACCCTTTCTTAGCCGAAATGGGACGTCACTCTAACATTTTTGGGCTACCGTGGGGCATTTGTGGCATTTTCCAGAACATATTAGAAAACAAAATCTGGAATAATTTGTATTGTCGCTGTCACGCCCCAACCTCGGGAAGCGCAACCGGCGCACAGTCGAGTGAACCCGACCAAGCAAGCATGTTAGATACTTTCTACCCAACTCATCCATGATCAAGAAAAGACGTGATTTCATTAATTATATAATAGGAAGATCATTCATGCAATACTAAATTGTTTCATTTGCTATTTCGCCTTTCAACCTCAAAATACACATATTCTTATAGTTTGAGTGGAACAAGTGATCAAACACAACATAACTTGCTTAACATTCCCAACACCCATATACAACCCACATTGTGTCCACGGAGCCTCTAAAGATACAAAGGAAAGTAAAGATGGTACTGGTAACAAGGCCCCGACTATACCTCAAAAAGTGACCAAAATATAAACAAAAGGTATAATACATGACCCCGGAATGAAATGGGGCTCACCGAGTCCGCTGAGAAGAGGATGCAACACTATCTGTGATCAACACTATCTGTTATGTAACCACCTGCATCCATTTAAAGATGCAGCGCCCCCAGCAAAAGGGACATTAGTACTGTCGAATAGTACTACTATGTATAATTAAACACTATCTCAATAGAATGAACAATAATACAGGGGGAGACAGTCAAGAATGCAATATGAGCTTTAAATAACACCAAAACATCAAGTTAAATATCACATAGATTTTTAAGTCAATTCCCGCATTATTAGGTAGGATGGTTTTTAGTGTCAATATGCCACAATACCACCGTGTTCTTACACGGAGTCCGATCTAGGCCCGATCGGCTAGACCATCTCATTTGAGACATCAACCATATTCATAATTTCATCCATAATACCACTGTGTTCTTACACGGAGTCTGATCTCGGCCCGAAAGGCTAAGCCATCTCATTTGAGACATCACCCTTTTTCAATCAGTCATCTCAATTCATATTTCTTTCCCATCTTTTCAATACAATGGCACAAGTGGCCCCAATTATAAAGTTGTTCTTGGCGCTTGGCTGTATTTCATGATTCAAGTTCTTTTCCATATTCCAACATTATTATTATCATCAACAACAATAAGGCTTCCCATTCAAGACATTAAATTCACATATGAGCAATTTGGAATCCAAGACACATAGAGGGTTTTCACACATCTTGGCATAACAGTCTTTAATCGAATTTGACTTGAAGTCTAGGCCTTTTTAGCACATATTCTAAGTTTTGAACTTTTCCTTAGATGACGATATAACATGATGAAAGCATGGGAATACATATTACACATATATTTTCAAAACAAGCACATTCGGGATAGCAATCTCTAGGATGTTCATTTTGGAACTTGCATTGATTTCATGAATACCATGGGATTAAATTCTAAGAAGAGGGAGTTTAGCCAACATACCTCAACTGAGCCTCTTAAAACTCTAAGATGTTCCAGAATATTAGCAACTTCAATATACTTTAGCAATATAGCAAAATTGAACCCAAAATTAGGAAAACGATCATAATTCTAGCTCACTTGAGTATTCTATCAAATACTATGTGTGTATTAAGGTTTCATGGCCCTTTTTATGAAAGACTCCACCAACCCACACCCCATTCTTTTCTATCTTTAACTCACAACCTTCCCACATACCTTAGGAACACATGCATGCAAGGTAAGCACTCCCATCCCCATGAATGACCTTACTAATGTCCCATTCTAGTTACATTTTGAAATTAAGAGTTTGGGTGATAGAATCTTACCTCTTAGGAAGAAGACCTAGGTGCCTCTCTTGATAATCTTCAAGGTTTTAAGTGAGAATTGAAGAGAAATTTGATGAAGTTCACTCTCTCTCTCTCTAGGACTCTCACTCTCACTCTAAAGTATCAAGTTTTTCTCAAACATGGCCCCTTACATCTATTTTAACGAAGTAGGGTCGGATTTTAAAAACCTACAAATGAAGC